GAGAGAGAGAGAGAGAGAGAGAGAGAGAGAGAGAGAGAGAGAGAGAGAGAGAGAGAGCGAGAGAGAGCGAGAGAGAGCGAGAGAGAGAGAGACATATGTAGCAACATGTGTAGCAGCATGTGAAAACCACGTCAGAAACGTTGCATTACATAAAACATCATGACAAACGAACACTAACCCATAATGTACTTAAAGCTTGAAATCTTGCTTTACACTCTATACATGTATATATACGTTATCAAGAGCATATAAAGAAGGAGAGCGTACAACGGTAAAATGCTGAAACCATGTTGCAGTATTAGTCGAATTAATAAACTTTCCCCGTTTTATTTTGACGATTCTTTGCAGTATCATTGATCAGCTGTCCTACCTTGTTCATATAAAACAAACCGCATGTTCCTACGATTCCTAAATACCAGATTTTCACCGCTTATTATCTCAGCGTAGGGGCATCGTAGGGACATGCGGTTTGTTTTATATGAACAAGGTAGGACAGCTGATCAATAATACGTCAAAATAACATGGGGAAAGTTTATTAATTCGACTAATACTGCAACATGGTTTCAGCATTTTACCGTTGTACGCTCTCCTTCTTTATATGCTCTTGACGTTATACATCTGACTACTGGTGATAAACAGTGAATCATTCCTGAACATAATAACATACTATATATTCTTTAATATATAGAATATAATATAATCTAGGCATTAACCTGGAGCGATCCACCACCGCAGTATTCCATGGCTATCCAGAGTTTGTCGCGTCGCAGGTAACTGCCGTAGTAAGCCGTGATGTTGGGATGCTTGCAGTCCTTCATCATCAGAATCTCCTGACGGATGATGGAGAAGTCATCACCTGGCTCCAGCTTGATAACTTTGATAGCTGAAATATATATATATATATATATACATAAGCATCATGTATATCCACAAACACACACGTACGCACACACACGTACGCACACACACGCACGCACACGCACTAATATATCCATATGGACATTTATACATGTATAAGTATAACAAATATATACTTTTAAATTCCATTGCAGCAAGCAGCTTGTTCAACAATCATGCGTTAGTGTACTCTAATCTAGTGACATGGATGCATTTTCATAAATAATAACATATAAGACTAATGATTATTAATTAGCAATAACATTTAATTATTAAATACGTGATTTTATGCATATATAATTGATTCAGTGCAAATTGCTGGTACTTGGATATTTTTCTGTATACGTGCACACACGACAACAACAAATGAATTCATAGTGTGCATCGTAAACGAGTTCCTCCTGATTGCATGCATAATTAAGTACCCAGGATGTACAGGAATCAATGATGATCCCTACAGGAAACAAGCCACAACATGCATTGCTGAAATTGGGTCATAAACATGATAAAACATCTATTGGCTAACTCACTGGTTAGCTTAATAGATTTCTATCCTACTTTCCACTCATTTTCTATAACGTATATGACAAATGACATGAAACAGAGAGTTTCCCTGGTTCCTAAAATACCCAAATCTATATGTGGGCTTCGCTTGTTGTGCTCTAAACAAATCCTTGCAGTTAAGCAATAACAAGAAATAATCACCAGTAGCTAAACTCCAGTATGAACCACTTTCATGTCAAGAAACTATCACCAAGTGACTAAGTTATCACGTACAAATGAAGCATCTGGCCACGACCGACATAGCGACCAGCATTATCCGATCATACATCACGCTCGACACAATGCGAACAGTTAACTGATTAATAATAAATAATAAAGTATAAGTATAATAAGTATAGCATAAGTAAGTCGAGGCCACGACCACGAAAAATGCAAAATCGACACAACGCAAACAATTCACTGATTTTGTGTCGCAGTAAAGAAGTTGCAACCAGCTTACCCGCTAACTCGCCAGTGTCTATGTGGCGCGCTTTGTACACGTCGCCATACGTCCCACTGCCGACTCGCTGAATCAGCTCGAAATCCTCCTGTGGGTTTCGCCGGGAGATGTCCGGCCCGACAACTGCCGCGCACATTGCTGCGGAGGACTGTTGTACACGTTAGTCAAGTGCTGTTCAATCTCAGAGCTGTGCTCTCAACATCATCTGCAATGACGAACGCAATTAATTCCTCGAAAAAATAACAAATGAACGTGAGAATGAAATCACAATCAGTTAATGAATTTGCAGTGAAGGTTAGATGATCTTTCACATGTGACCTTTCTTCACGTGTGCCTGATCTTGATGACTACAACAGCAAGTCCATTAATATCCGATTGATCATCTAGGCATCATCTAGGGCAGTGGTTGGCAAACTTTTCAGAGCGAGGGCCGCATCAGTGGGCCATGAAAAGTCAAAGGGCCGCACCTTTTAAAATCGGGCGATGCGCTCTAAGATAACAAGGAGAGGAAGCATTTATCATCAGGCAATGAAGTATTATGAGATACGAAAATAGCTGCGCCACGTTATTTTCAAACAAGTAATAATCTTCAGCAGACTTAAACCTTCTCACTACAACCGTATTTCAAATGGGGTCAAAACCGGGTCCGGGATCACGATGCACCCGCTGTGGCATAGGTCACTGCCCATCATTGATTGACAGGGCCTGCTCATGACATTTCAAGTCAGCTTACTGCATCTAGAGGGCCAGCACGAATTCATTACCACACAGAATAGTGATCGCTTCTCCCTATATATAAATGAGCCATGGTTATCTTCTAGTATTATCACATAAAAAAGGATTGAGGTGCAAACTTCTCACGAAATCAGTATCAAGACAGAGACATAACTACAATGCATCTCCACATTTGCTCTCATCACAGCGCGCTGCAATCGTACCTGATTAACGAGGGATAATTTGCTTGCAGCCTCTATCTGCTGTCATCTCATGATGTGCTACAGGAGAGACACCAACTCACCGAGATCACTGTCCACTCTACGATTCTGAAAGACATGCGATTTGCGATGAATTTTTTAAAAATCTTTAACATTTTTTATTGTAATATCTTACTCATTCAAGACTATCCTCAACACATCACTGGCACATAACGGCGTTTAAGTCCGGATGAAGAGACTAGGAGCCGTCAGGCAGGCATTACCTCCAATCTAAATTTAGCAAAACCTAAAAATCTCTTCAAGACTATGCTATAAATATTGTACACTGATATCATAGGTTACGGTGTTTGACAACAAAACTGGAAGTTGATTGCAGCTGCTTACACTTGCTACCACGTGGTCACGTGCAATATTTTAAATGTTTAATCATGGTACTTGCTTGCCTATGTCAAAGCTACTGCTAGTGTTCAACACTTTTACAGGATGTGATAAAAAAAAATGGAGGCAATTTTTGTACAAAAGCTGCAAAATACATTTTGAAGAATGATTCAACCCTATGGCAAATTAAAACTAAATGACAAATTGCCATCTAATTTCTGTTGTTGCAAGCGAGTACTAACTAATTCCTCAACCTCACTCTAACCTAACCACACCTCCAACTTACTCTAAATGATATATGTACATACAAACATTTTTACGTAAACGAACACAGCAAAGATGTGAGATTTACATAAGCACACGTGGGCAGTTACTCTAGTTTTCCATTTGTGACTAAAAATAACTTTAGTGGCTCAAGTTTTGGCTAAAACTTAGAAACAACACACAGAGTAAAGGGAGCCATGTATTGAATAGCAGCTTTCTGAGTGAAGCTTAAAAAGGTATTATCAGAGCATACCCTGTTATAAGACAAAACATTGATAATTCAGATTATCAAATTAGCTGAATGCAGGAACGTTTGTTTGAAAACCATAGCCTTGCATTTCTGCCAAGATGCTATTGAAAACCAAGCATACTTAACCTGTGCAGGTGTTTAAAATACAAAATTATTTACTATGAAAATAGAATCACAATGCAGAATATTCACTGCTTAATACAACAGGTCAGGTCACTGGGTTGGTGTAGTAACAACACACTAAGTAAACGTACAGTCCAGTCAAGTGTCTTGGTGAAGGCCAAAAATATAAAAGGCACACTTACGTGACTGAGACATACGAGCGTACATGAATACCAGCAACACGACACTCAAGGTATAGACATCCTAGATACTGAATTATCATCTACGACTCATCGTTGACTCATTCTCTTATCCACATCTTTGTTGGTTTGATAGACTAAACTCGTTTAAAAGTAAAATCATTACAAAAAAAGAAAGCAGCAAAATGATCCCAGGCAACTGAAGACATATGCAGCAAGAAATTCTAAGTGCAGTATTTTTTACACATATTCTTAGTATTTCTATTCTGCGTTACAAGTAATCATGAGTAATCGGAATGCAATTCAAAGCTATGGTATGCGCTGACACGCATCTGGCACAAGTGCCAGTAAACCATTTTCACTCTTGTGACTGTCCTTTGCGTAACCAAACAGTTGCATGAGAGATACAGAAAGGTGCTTTTGAACCGATGATTGTGAATGAACTTAGACATGATAATGGACAGTTGGCATAAAATATGCATTTAGTATACAGACTTACACTTACACATTAGACATTATCTATAACTTAATTGCTGATCACAGATGCAGACTGCAGTCACAACCACACACATGTTTATCAGACAGAAATTGACAGACTGCATTGAATCGATTTACTAGTGGCATTTGCTACTTGCATAGTGTTTATTTGCCAGAGTGATATCAGAGTGATATGAGAGAGCTCTAAGGAGTGGCAGCAATTGGAAGACAGGCTTAATCACGACCTTGGGTTCAGCGTGACTGATTGAAAAATAAGGACTGACGACAAACTGAATACGGATTACTTCATAAGTATTGATTTAAAGTTACAACGAATATAAGTTACCCAATGGCATTGACATTCACTTCCTGTTTTAATATGATTTATTTGTGTCAAAGATTGTTTGAATGAAAAGCATGTTTACTACAAAATTTAAGCAGGCTTCCTAATGTTTAATATAAATTAAAGCAAAGCAGCAAGCATAGGAATGAGTCTCAGACAGCCTAAAATAAAAATTGTTCAGGAGCCCCCCTCCCCCACCTCCCAAGACTCAGCTACTAGCCATGGTGCTTCGGCACCATAAGGGCTGGTTGATATTGTCAAGGGATGTAGACTTTACAGATTGCTAGCCCAGTTGGCTTGTGACGATTTTCGGTTAGTTTCATGCCCTGGTGATATAGTCCCTAGAAACAAGTGAGCTACTAAGGACATTCAGGGTAATCTGCACAGTTTGGCCAAATAAAGCATACAGAGTTTAGGTGAATAGTGGCTCAGGTCTACAATGGACCACCGTGTATACGTCAGCACCGCAATCACCTTCTAATCCTAATCCAATCATAATAGGGCACTATCAAATTAGCAATCAGATTTGAGCATGCTTACTAAGCTAATGGCATATCGTGTATGACAAGCTTTAAGAGGGGCTTATGTTGCGCTTGCGAGCCGACTCGACTGGAAGCAACTGGCTGGAATTCACTGCGACTGTATTGCTTAGGTCGGTCGACTGCGACGCGACTGCCTGCGACTGGCCGCCACTAGTTGCTCAGAATAGAACAGTGGGCAACTGGACGCAACTAGTCGCTGCTGATCGCTTCCAGTTGCTCGAAATCCAGTTGCTTCCAGTCGAGTCAGCTCGCAAGCCCGACATAAGCCCCCCTTTAGGCTAAAAGTATTAAAAACATGTGATACCATCAAAACATCAAATTATCCCTTGGACTTGGAAAAACTACCTAGAGCCTGCCACACAAACAGCTATTTAACTTTTCATTACGTGTTTAAGCCAGCAGCCCTAATGCATGGAGGTATTTCTGGGCCTGGGCCAGGGTTCTAAAGAAGACTTGACTACAAGTAGGTAGAATGGATAAACTGTACTTCGATAACACTGCATTAAGTGGTGCAGTAAAATAGAGTTAAGTGACTAATACTCCAACTGGAACTGTCTGTGGCAGTTCAATTTGAGTACCAAATAGTATGTGACTATGAGAATATATTATGGTATATGCACAACTTATTGCAAAGTTATGTACTTAAATGATGCATATATATGTCCCTTGATTTAACTTGAAATTCCATAAGGTAGTGGGCTAGATCATGCACACTACCTACCTAATAAACTACACCACTTGTCAGTCTCCGACAAACATAATTTCCTGCAGAAGTATTAGGGTTTAAATGTTAGAGTAAAACAGTTGGGAAAATGGATCAACTTTGCATTTTTAGCTAATAACTGCACACCTGTGCACAAACTGTTGAGAGTTATCCACCTTCAAGCTGCCTGATTTGATTTTTATTGAATCTGATCTCCTGCCTTGGGCCCTATACACACCGTTACTGTTACTTAGCCACAACAAATTATGGTCAAAACCTATCTTCAGCTTTGTGCATCTAGGTGTGAAGTTGTTTAGCAAAATACACATTTTTGAACCAACTATTTTACTCTACAATGGAAGCCCTTCCATTTCTGCAGGAAATGCAATGCAGAAGAAAATGACAACTGTTTAACGTGGGAGAGGCATACTTTAGCCTAGTACTAAGTAGGCATACTTTAGTACTTTTAGAGTTTAGTAGTAGTTTTAGTATCGTTTAGTAGAGTAGATAGGCGGTGTGCATTACGTAAGACACTAGACTAGTCACTACACTGTACGCAATCCTTGTTCTCGGCCTAACCGATTCATTTATTGTCATGCACACAATTCATTACGATGATCAATAGTGTCGGTAATTTTAACATTTTATTCAATTTGTCATCACTAGGATTAGTAATACTAATAGTAATACTATATAGTTACTAGTACTAGTAGAAAGCCAGAAATACCGCTACCAGTACCAGTACCAATACCACTACGACTACCAGTGTACCACTACCAGTGGCAGTGTACCACTACCAGTGGCAGTGTACCACTACCAGTGTACCACTACCACTACCAGTGTACCACTACCACTACCAGTGTACCACTAGGCACTACCAATAGGCAATACCAGTGTACCACTACCACTAGGCAATACCAGTGTACCACTACCACTACCAGTACCACTACCAGTGTACCACTACCACTACCAGTACCACTACCAGTGTACCACTACCACTACCAGTGTACCACTACCAGTGTACCACTCCCACTACCAGTGTACCACTACCACTACCAATGTACTACTACCACTACCAGTGCACCCCTACCACTGACTGAGTACCAGTACCAGTTTAGTGAGTTACCAGTCAGAAACGTTACGTGCAATATACGCAGTACTACTGAGTACTGGTACTGGTACTGGTAGGCTACTGTACTGGTGCACAGTTTAGTGAATGAACAAAATACCAAGGTAACAGCCCTAACAAGCGGATTACCTATACGATAGGGCGGCTGCTTACATAACAAATTAACATTTCCTTTATCCGAGCTCTATATAAATGATACTATACTTGAAGTACGCTTGTAAATGGGAACATTAATATTAATAACATAAGACTGATAAGGGTAGGTAAGCGAAGATGGCGGCTAATTCTCGTAACTGCGAGAAATTGGAGTTACTTGAAAACAGATATAGGGATTTATCGGATTAAAGATATAAATTATTAACAAATTATTAGTAGAAATAAAATGACCAATTCAACTTTTTGGAAAACCATATGATTTATGTAATAATTTCTTTGAATAAAACCAAAAGAACCAATGATCAATCTTCTAACAGATTAATGTAACTGGTAAATGCAATGTAATTGGCTGTGCTTGGCAGCCATACGCTTTTCCCGCCATTCCGCAAATCAAGCTGACGAAGATGGCAAAGCCGAAAGCCGCATCTTTCTCAGAAGAGGAGGTACGCATTAGTATCTATACGTAATACATAACGGAAATTCATAAAACAAACTATGCGGTTCGTAAAATGTAGAAAACTTGTTCCCATACGAAGGCGTTTTCCCAGTTTCAATTGCTCTTCGTTACAACTCTGTCAACTGTCCCCCTCCCACTCACTCAGTCACTGCAGCTCATACTCATACTCATACTCATAGTCATACTCATAGTCATACTCATAGTCATAGATAGTCATACTCATACTCATACTCAGTCATACTCGTACTCATACTCAGTCATAGTCATACTCATAGGGTCTATGTCCCCCAGGGTAGGCCTACTGCCGGAACGTACCCTGGGTACGGTCTGGTATACCGGAACGTACCCTGGTAACTATTTGATAGGGTTAGGGAGTAGAGGTAGGCGATTCCCTAGACTCGTTACTCGTTCGTGTAATACTAATAGTGGAGTAGGCGAGGTACGGTCCGGCATATTTATTTATGATATTACTAGATAGTACCAGGGTACGTTCCGGTATACCGGACCGTACCCAGGTTACGTTCCGGCAGTACCCCTGGGTGACATAGACCCTCTCAGTCACACTGCACCGGAGTCGTAGATACAATAATGTAACCCAACAAGAGTAGGGTTACTACGCGAGCCTATTGGCTATTCTTTTCTTTGGAGGAACCCCTGAGTGATTCACTCAGGGCAGTTTTATGGTGCGTTTTTCGAGACTAGAACTTCCAAACTGGGTTTATTCTAAACACGAACCTTTCTCCGCTATCCTGGGACTTACTATGTATCACAATACTCTGTATTAAACTAATAATAATATAACCTAGCTGTTACAAAATTTCGAAGTGACGAGTGGCGATATTTCGAGCGCCATTTCTGTTGACCTGTGACGTACGCATTCCCAATGCGCATAGCATTCGGCTAACTTCAGCTCCTGTGTTGCCTGACATGCTGGCTCTGGTGACGCCATGACTGACAGCAGGCATCCCATGATGCATTCGATCTTGGAGTCGAAGTTAGCCGAACGCTATACACATTGGGAATGCGTACGTCACAGGTCAACAGAAATGGCGCTCGAAGTATCGCCGCTCGTCGCTTCAAAATTTTGTAACAGGTTATATTAGTTTAATACAAAGTATTGTGATCAGCCTAAAAATTACTTTTTTTTTACGAGTGCTCTTTTAATTTTGTATGAAAAAAAGAGCTCTCGTAATTTTTTTTATGAGAGCTACTTTAGGCTTGGCCAGAGCTACTTTTTCATAGCCTGATTTTGTTAAAATTTTCATAATTTTGATGCACGGACTCTAATAATGTCTCAGAAGCCAGAAATTGTGTCTATAATTATCGTAAAGGTGTTTCCCAAATGAAAGTCAAGATTATGCTTTGGCGAAATCGACGAGGTCAACAATCATTCATAATGGTGACAAAATCACGGAGGCCGGGTTTACATGCATGTTGCTGTATGCATGTTGTGTACAAAGTATGACTGCATGCACTGATTGTCTCATTCGCATTATTTTGTTCATTCAAATCTCGTCGCAGCAAGGCAGCTTATGTCTGTGCAAAAAAATGCAAGGGACGGGTGGAAACAGTACTGAACAAGTTCTAGTTACTATTACTAATACTAACACAACTAGTTGAATTAGTAATATTATTCGTAATAACCTAAGACCCTTAGGCAGGGATGAGAATCTTCTGCGGATCCGCGGAAATCCGCGGATTTCACAGTCCCAGGGTCGTTTTTGTGAAACGTCTAAATCTGTTGAGAGAAAATTTTAGGGGGGTTAGAATGTACAAATTTTTATTTTACAGTCCAACAGTACCTTCATTTAATAACATTGTAATATAGTTTGCTTTACAATATAGACACGGCTTAGTTCACTGTTTGAGATTGTCAGACGTTGGCCAGTGTGTGCATTTATTTGACGCTGCAAGTGTGTGTGTATGTGATGTGTGCCGCGCGTGCTACGCAGGCCGGATATAATACGCGATCGATCGATCGTGTACATCAAAAGCTGCCGCGTCACGCGTGGCCTTGAGGCTCATTTTATGGAGTAGCCGGCCCAGGCTCTGCGACTGTTTCACGTGGTAGGAAACGTAGGTACGAACTGTTTCACTTCTCGCCAATGAAGTTGAAAGTTCTGTTTATAATACATATATATACATAACCATAAAAGGTGGTGTCGCGAGCTGCCTTTTTCGGTGACCTTTGAAAACGATAAAAAATTAATGTCGCGCGATCGCGCCCTAGCTCCTAGGGTGTTAGGAATATTATATCGTGCGCGCAAGGGAGGATTTTTGGGCAACCTTTGGCGTAGCAAATAAAGCGTTTCCTTTCCTGATGTCTGATCACTGTGGGGCTCACAGACTTGCCTTGCAGCAGGACAAGTCGCTAAAGTTGTTCAATATGATAAAATATCTACTGTAGTGACCAGAAACAAATTTGAAACTGCCTGGACAATGAACATCTTATATTATATAAAGGTTAGCCTTTGGGACATTGTGGAAGTGTACATTAAAATAATTTTGTTTGCAGAATGGAAGTAAATTTTTGTGTTGATTATTAATTCTAGTGTTAGGATAATGACAGTGCAATATATACTCCCTGCACTGTACTGTAATATGCTCTGTAACAATTCTGTTCTGTATGTGTCTCCTAATGCAATTTTATGCCTTGTAAGTTGTGAAAATTCAAAAACTTTCTGAACCCCCTGACATGCAGGCTTCACCCAGGTCCCTGCACCTGCCCGCTAACCCCCCACCCCCCCCCCCCACCGCTGGATCCCGG